CCCAACGGTATGTAGGCTTGTTTGCACCGGGTCGTCTGCTAAGATACCCTGTCGAGGATGAAACGGATCGGTAAGGTATCAAAAGAAAAGCCTGGAAGGGACCTCGACGCTTTGACTTGCTTCTTCGCGCTGAAACGCTTCCGGGCATGTTTTTCCTTTGATGCTAAGTCGCTTCTTCAACTCGTCGCTCAAAATGTGCAATTGACCGCTCTGGACCTGGACCAGGACATGGACTTGGACCCTGTTCAACAGCGCTGATCCACAATGCTTCGAGTGCTTGTCGCGTCTTGACTCAAAAGCTTCCTCAAGAAGTAGTGTCGTGGGTTCCTACTCCAGGTAACGTAGTTCTTACCTGATATGCGGTAGTACATTTCATGCGCGGGAGGCGCGCCGGGCTCGGCTAGGGCAGGCTCCCGACCGGTGGAGATGAAAGGCGACTCGGGTCGTTGCTCTGCCGCCGGCGGACCCCCTTTTGAGGACCACAACAAATTCAAGGCGCTCCAGAAGTAAACAAAGAATCGAGAGGGAGAAGCTCGTTTTGAGTTGGTTGCGACTCGGAGATCTAAATATGCCGCGTTGCAGCGCTCTCCAAACGCCATGCCTGCACCGTGCGTGATGAACGGCGGCGCCGAGAGTCTTGAGAACTCTTGACTTTCTCGGCATCCACAGCCAAGCATCATGGCCTGCGGGGGATTCACGATGCCAAGTCCTTCTAGATATGCGCGCTGTCCTTACCAAGTACCAAGAAACGCTTACGCCGATTTACCGCTGCAAGATAGGATTCCCGTGATAGGGCACCTGGATGTTTCTTCCATCCACGAATCGCGATCCTGACTCGAACAGCATCTGGCTCCGGTCTCTTTGAGCCTCCTTTCTTTCTCCGCGGCTCAGGATCCACTCCCCAACGAGCCTCTGCGCGGTAACTTCTCAGCTTTTACCCCTTTGAAGACGCCGTAAACAACAGCCGGCAAGTTGCCACACCCACTCTCTCGTCGCTTTCTCAACTGATTCAGACCCGCCCCGAGCCCGCTGCCCGGCAAGAGAGAGAGAGATCCCTGGCCGGCACTAGCGCATAAGCATTTGGGATGGCTGATACGGTGCCGGGCCCGCGCCCAATCACCAACGGCGGGCCGGGCAATTCGGGGTGACGGTGTTTCATGAGTGACGGCAAGGCTCGGGGGGCCGTGCTTTAGCCGGCCGAACCCTGCAGTACCTTGGGGGGCTTGCGCACGGGCCGTTTTTCTGGCCAACGGCGTTGGCAAGGTCGTGTGTTGGGTGGGAAGGGCGCACCCGCAGCATCCAAACTGGGGCTAACGAAGCTTTTTTCTTTTCGCCTCGCCCGAGCCGAGCGGGACAAATCCCTGGGAAACTCGAGCGAGGCTCGTCGCTTCATTTTAGGCGGGATGGGAGGGTTCCGCTCGAGCAGGGCCAGGGGGTTTAGAGGAAGGGGGAAAAAGTCAATTCGGTTTCAAAGAGCGGGCTGGGCGCGGATAGCCTCGTCGCGATGCCGATTGTTTCGAGTTTCGCATTCAATCAGGTTGGCCAGCTTTGTTAAACGAAGCTGCAGCTGTTGTCTTGGGAGGGCTTTCGGCGGGGTAGGCAGAATGGGGGGGAGAGCTGCAGAGCCGGAGATGCGCCGAGTCGCCGACAAGTGGTCGAGCGCCCGTGACCAGCGGGAGCTGTCGAGAGCTTCGACGTCATTCCACGCAGATTGTCAGATTGGGGTTTGCTGGGGGGGAGCCGGCGCGCGGTAACGATACCGCAGGGTATGTACCTATCTTTGCTACCTACCTAGTTCTCGGCCTACGTCCAGAGCGGCCGGAGGAAAAAGCACGGCTTTGACAAACGCATTCTAGAAATTGCTTGGAATCAAAGCGGCCAAGAGCTTCGGTCGATGGCCTTGCATCACTTGAACACAGTGCGCCGAGTCCAGAGGCGAAGATAAGCTTGGGCGATATCCACTTCTTTAGCGCGTTGTAGCCGTCGCCATGGCAGAGCGCTCCTCGTCGCAAGATCCAGCGGTACTCGGCCTCGGTGCTGCGTGTAATTTTGAGTAAGCGGCAGGTCGGCCGAAAAAGAAAAAATCCCGCGCTCTGCACGCCCCAACGGTTGGCTTGTACATACCTACCTTGTATGGGTGGCCATGTGCCCTTGTCGCACGAGCCAGTCGAATCGCCCGCGGTCCGGCATCACATCGGAATTTCCCCCCCAACCCTACCAGGCCGGCCCCGGACAACGCCCAAAACAAAAGTGCTTTTTCCTGGCCCAAAGCAACGAGACAATGGAGCGCCGATAAGCAAAATAGATTGAGCTGATGGGACACACCAGGCCCCGTTCCGTTTCAATTGATTCACGCATTGCGTGGCAGGCCCGATCGCTCACGATGCTTCGTTTCTACCGGCCTGTCTATCCTACCAACTTGGCAACAGCAATAGAATCCATCGGACATTTTATTCTTCGCGACTCGATAAATCGCGTCTTAGCCACTCATACGCGTCGTGCCATTGACTAACGGCCTTCCTACAATGAGTAAGTACCTATGTAAGCGGCCGTCTCGGGTTACCCCTTCGGACAATTGTCCCGCTTCCAGCGGGCCTTCTCGCAGCTGATGTCCGAACGCCCATTGGATGACGGCGACGGGCTCCGCTCGACCACCGGCCGACCGCGGGCGGCTCCACTTCGCGTCTTGCAGGGATCATCACCTCTGCCTTGCTGGTCACGATTAGTAGCTTATTGGACCCTTCGGGTTTCGTATTGGTGCTGTCATGAGGGCTCGAGCCAAACAATCAGAGCTTCTAATTTCGCGCCCTTGGCCCCCAACAACGAAGCAGGAAGCCGGTCGCGTGCTCCGTGTCTCGTCTGAGCTTCAGGAATGCTGTGTCCAATTCGTGCCTTCTTTTTGAACTCGAGCCAGCTCGATCAATTCGCGCGGATGCCTTTATGCAACGAGCTCAAGCTTAAGCTCACAGTGACCAATATAAAATAGAAGCTAGGGGAGCTACATCTTCTCAAGGCCATTTCATTGCGAACATTTTTTGCAAATTGCATGCACTCTCCTTCGCAACGGACACCAGCCGCTCTTAATCGCAATGAGCTTCTTTCAATTGGCGGAACAGCGCCTCAGCCAAGAATCGAGCGACAAGCTCCGGGAGCTTCGGCACTAGACAGAACCCCGTACCACATGAAGCAACCAGTTTCTAGTATATCCTTTGAATGACGAGAAATTCGCAATGATAACTTTTTCAGTTAGCTAGTCCAGCAACGGACAGTTCCTCGTTGTACTGTTTGCTCTTGCGTGCCGCTCACCATTGTCATCACCTTCTAATCTATTCGACGATTGGATACTACAGAGTCAACCATCAGCCGACGTCTCCGAGGGCTAACCGATCGAGGATGCCCCGGATGTCCATATTCCTCCGTACGGCTCTACACCATCATCCTACCTACGCGAAGCCAACTGAGCATGTAAATCCTGGACGCTCTAGCCTTGCGGAGCACAATACACCTACGACAATGTTCGAGACACCCGCCTGCCTAGCCCTCACCCGCAGAACCAGTGTCCGGCGCTTCTAGGTAGGCGTTCACACCACGCTGCCTACTTGAACTTGATCCGCTATTCGTACCTCGTCTCGACATTTGCCCGGCGGCGAACGAGTCACCAGCCCTTTTCAGCATTAGCTTCAGTTATAAACAATTGCATCAGGCAGGCTCTTGGCTTCGTCACCAGACTTCCAGAAGAGGCAGCCCGCTTCACGCGCCATGCCCGGGACGTAAAATCTGTCTTCGACATTTTCTTATGTGATCCCGGTTCGCTCAACGTGCGACTTCAGATACCGGCAAAGTGCACAAACATGAACCACGGAGGAGCGAAAGACATGTTGATAGGATTTCGCATCTGTAATCCTTCAAGGAGCTGGTGCTGCGTCTCGAACAGAGCGGTCGTGGAAAACAAAGGCTGGTTGCACAACTACCGATCGGGATCACTAGTACACAGGTTGCAGTAGAAATGCATAGGGAGGACGAAGGTCAAGCCTCCGGTAGAAACTGGGGCTTGTGAACTCAACTTGGATATTGCGTGGGGGATGGTTACCTTGTATACGTGATTCCGGAGTGCAAACCGAAGGTTTGCGAACAGACTAGTGGTGGAAGGACTACGATTATTTCAGAGTCGAATTGAGAGAGTTGCAAAGCCCAATTGCGAACACGCTCTGACTGTCTGGGACGCCCATGGCAACAAACAAACAATAATTCGCACATTTCAGTAGCACGCCAACGTGATACACGAAGTAGCCGCTGCAAGCGGCTAAAGACATATCCGACTACTCACACAAAATGTTCTTCTCAACAATTCCCGCCGCAGACACGTACTGAAAATGGAGGTTCCTGCTTGAGTATACAATCTGTATCCAGCATCTGGACTAGATAAAGGACCCTCCGCCGTACAGCTTCGTTCCCGTGTACCAACGTGGCTCTAGACATGCTACTCCATGTTATCCCTTAATATTTTGACTGCGGCCCATTTGCGCCGTTAGTTAATTTATTCCGTCGCTGGGATCAGGTGTCAATACCAGGGGCAGTAAAGAATCATTCCCAACACCTCTAAACCTAGCGGGTACTCTCATGACCGCTAATTCTCTAGATAAAAGTATTTGCGGTCAATAGCTGGTTTGGATAGCCACTTGGGAAGGATTCATCAATAATTTGTTAGAATATTATAGAGTATTTTTAGGCGTACGCAAAGCCCTCTAAAGCTACTAAGAAATATAGAAATAATTGCAAATCCATTATTCCTGTCATCCTGCGCATATGTATTACAGAATGTTCCACGTCGTTTCGCGCCAGGCTGAACTAAAATTCCGGTGTATATCGTAGATAGGAGACCCTTATCGCTAGTCTACAATAAGAGAACACGCCTGTATTAAAAAGGAGAACGTTATTGGGCGTGCTTTAGCACTTTAAAATAAGGTCCCTAAATGCTAGCGCAAAAATATTAAAATGTTTAGTCCTGGCGAGGTTCGAACTCGCGGCTTTCGCATCCCTCAGTGAGGCCATACTGTATCCAGTCGGAGTACAATATAAGAACGACACGCTACCACTGCGTCACAGGACTTTTGGCCCAGATTATTGGTCAAAGTAAAATATATAGCACAAATTTTATTTCGCGCACATTTACCTTCGTATTTCCTGATGCAGTCTAATTACCCTCCGCCCTTGATCTAACTATAGTGCGTACAAAAAATCCGCAATAATGCCGTCCCCAGAATAAGAGCGTCGCAAGTAACTAATAATGAATTAATTTATGCTCTATTTCTTCTTGATCCTAATAAATCATAATATCCACGTTCAGATTCAGGAATTAATTTCAGACACGACTATCCATGGTTTGTTTGTAATATCCCTTTTCTGGAATCTTGGCGGAGTTTGCACAGGCTATCTCCTAGGAAGTACCTGTACGATAGGCTGTTCGAGATACCCGCATGAATAGAAGAAAACACCGCTTTGGTCCGATAATTAAACTAATTTTCTAGACAAACAAATGATCAAGATTCCAAAAGTCGGCCTCCATTCGCCCAACATGCAGTCGTGATCTTTCGTCGCGGTATGAACTCCTAGAGAAACAACTGACCGCCATCACTTACGCAACTGCTTTAACTTTCTCTTGCTCTTGAAGTTACATACTTTGCCTCTCTCTCCTAATGGATTACGCTCGATCTTTTGCTTACCCTAACCCTTATCGCGCTCATTCTTGCTCTTGAGTCACACGCGTAAACGCCTAGAGTTGCAGGACTGCGGTCATTGCTCTTTGATGATATACTGTAAACGAGCTTTGACGATTGCATTACGAACCCCCTAGTAGCCTTCCTTAGCTTCACGTTGCCTGATGTACTTACGAAGAGAGACGTTAAAGGGCTTGCCACTTATACAAGCGTATTTATTTAGCAAATTCGAAGATAAACTCAAGCGGGTCTCCCAAAGTTAGGCCATTGTCTTCCTTGGCGTGTTGTTGATGCACTAGTGGGTTAAGACCCAAGCTTGAGGAGCCTGGGAGAAGCTGGTCAAGCAAGTTGAGAAGTAGAGAAATTAGACTCTTCGTCTGAAATATAGGCGTGGTTTTCATATTAATTCTCTAAAGCTAATGCGTTTTCAGGTATATTTTGGCCCATTCGAAAAAACACTTGACGTTCTATCTTTAGTGAAGTATGTGCACTTGAGAGCTCCAGCGCTGCTCAATGGAACATTAAACACCATTCTCGATAACATCTTATGTTTCCTGTTTGCTGGTGGAATGTTGAAGGCCGTGTATCGGAATCCCTGAACAAGTTGCCTCTGAAATTTCCAACTTTAGCAGATAGGTCGGTATACTACGCCTCTTAGATTCTCCGCCTTTCCGATTTTCTGTCGTGAAGGCGCATCTTATTTACACTAGTACTCTGGTTTAGCTGCAAAACTTGCGTAGAAGTAACATGGTCTTTGGCATGAATTTCAATGTTAACTGATTCAACCAGAGCGTCTTTAAACATTTAGCTTCGTTCTTTGCGCCTGCGATCCCCCTTCTTATCGTCGTGTAGGCCTCCTTTATTGCGCCAATTTTGCGTCATAATGACTATTTTTTTAGGCCGATACAACTATTTAGCCCATGAAGTTAGTCATTCCAAAACTCAGCCACGCTATCATAGGACGCATTTTCGTGTCTTATGGAAACTATACCAGCGCCTACCGTCCTTACAAGCAAAACATATAAAGGTTCAATTCGTCACGCCCTGTACCTTAGTAATAACTGCCGCCTTTTGGGCAACTCGTTATTTAGTTGTTACAAATGATATGGCCAGGACGAAGTTTCCATTGCTCAAATAGGTTGAGATCTCTCTCATCAAAGAGCCTGCGCGATTTACTATACACTAAGGACAAGGACGCGAAGATATCTTCGTGGTACTCAGCTGCGGGAGTTAGATATAGACCCGCGTGGATATTCTCTCAAATATGCTAGGTTCTGATAGCACGAAAATAGCGCGGACTGCATGGTATAGAGAAAATCGATATGATATTTGTGTCTTTGCTAGTCGTATCGGCAGTTGAACGGCGAAGGACTCAAAGCTTTGTGGCTATCGTCCACCCAGGCAACTAGTTCGCCCAAAGTAGTAAATCCTGCACGAACGGAAGGACGATGACATTCGAGCAGCTAATTCAAACGCAGCATTAGTATTGCGTACATCTGCCTAGGTCCTAGCTTTTTTACACGCCCTTCTTCATTCATACGAATTCATAAGGAGAAATTGCTGGCATATATATAAGGTACATGTCTTAGACTCTTCCAAAAAAAAAAGGGGGGGGGGTGTAGCAAACGGTTTGTTACAGTCGTCTCAATTGAGTCTTCATGGCCAACCGTTCCCACCCTAGCCATACCTGATAGCAAGGGGTAGTGTATCCCAGCGGCTATAATTGGAAAGGAGAAACTATAAAGGCGCTGCAACCTTCTAAGAGAATGAAATCAACTGAGACATTACGGCAAAGTAGTTAATTAAGACTTCCGGGGCATTTTGTTCTTAGAAACTCTTCAATTTTTCAGGTACAGCGGGTGAATACGCAAGTTCTTAGCTGCTAAACAACTTAGAACCGAGGTGCTATTACACCCTTTGGAACTCTATAGTCAGTCCGTAATGTCATACAAGCTATAGAGCTAATAAACCGATTAACCTGACATTAGTGACAAAAAGGCTCGAATACAAATTCTTTAAAAAAAAGCGCAAAAGAAATGATGACAAGAGTGGGATTCGAACCCACGCTCCTTTCGGAACCAGGAAAATCTGCTAAGGTAAAGCCTTAACCTGGCGCCATAACCAACTCGGCCATCTTGCCAGAACTTAAAGTCTAAATTCTTTTAACATACTATATAAATTAAGTTTCAATCAAAATTCTGTACAAGAATTGCTACCGAGCAGGTTAGCCTTTTTTCCAAAAAAAGAAATAGCAATTTACATCATCTGATTGGTTATCCTTTGTTGCATTAGCGCGTGATTATATCTCATCTATCAATAACTCTTGCGTACAACCTCACTTAAATGTATCCTGCAACTTAGCCTTTTCTTCTCTCTAGCTGCTGTCGACACATTCAGCTATTACTCACCTAAATTTGCTTTTAACTATCCCGAACGTGATACTACGACCAAAGACGCTAGTATTGGTAGATCACCGTGATCAATGCGTTGTGACATTGTTTCGCTATAATTTTGCGTGCGGTTAAGTAGCATTTAGAAATGTAGGGATGTAGTTCATGTCCAAGAACTCCGAAGTTCCAAAGATCTAAAGCCTCTAGAACAAAATATTTGTATTTTGTTTTATCTGAGTATACTACGTTCTTTTGACGCTATTTTGCATGGTGAAAACCTGCATTTATAGAGACTCTCAGGTTGTGGTTTCAATTACGAATGAGGCTTGTTTGCAGCCTAATAGTTAAACCTCGGATCAAATATGTGCCCAGTGCGGGCATAATCTTTGAACATAGTTTCAAAATCCTGGGTTGAGCTTGCCCTTACCGCAACGTACTCTTGTTTTGCTACTGTAAAGCGCACTGCAAGATGCTACCCCGCACCCTGCTCACGATAACCCTCTTGCCCCGACTCACTGGCCTCTCTATTTGCAGACCTATCGTGGGGGCTGTTGATACTCTATCTGTATCAAGCAATTCTATCGGTTTTGCTGCCGGCACCGGCTTCCTTAACACCGTCTTGACACCGGCGCCATGTCTCGTGGCACTGCCCCAATCTACAAGCACTATGCGAATGCTCTCTGGGTTCGTGTCTGCAAAGACTATGCGCTTGACAACCGCGCCTTGATACTTGTACCACTAGATGGAGATTGTCAACTAGTCGCTCCGTGGCCGGGCGAAGATGTTAAGTTTTTCGAGCCATATCCTGGGTTCCGCTGCTTCGTTAGCGACGATGACGTATGTTCCAGCGTCTATTCAATCCAGAACGACGTCGGAAATTTCGAAGTTCTATATCCAGAGAGATTGGCAAGTCTAAAGAACTTTTAGCTTAATGATCTACAATCTTCTTCTTCCTCTTTTCCCACGGGGCCATTGTTTCTTCCTGCTATGGCGACGAACCACCGATTTTCGACCCTATCAGTACCGGGATTTCAGCTTCGAACGAGACTGTGCTCCTCTGTGGGAAGGAAAATTTTCGGGACTACCACGAGATTAAGGTTGCGCTGGGTATCTGCAGTGACTTGCCAGCGGGGTTGGCTAGCTGGACGCGATCATTCCGCCCGTGGGCGCCGCGATTGAGGTGCACATTGTATGATACCTTAGAGGCCTGCGAAGTGTAAACGGGAACGGCGACGATCGACGTGCCTGCTTACCATCATGAAGGTCTTGGACTCAAGATATCTAGGATCGTGTGCGATACATTCACAGACACTGAGTTGGCGTAGATAGGATCAATGGTGCTAAGGATACGGAATGCGAACAATATTGGGCTATGGTGGCCACAGAATGCTGAAGAGATACGAGCTAAGCCTCGCTAGAAAGAACTGAGCCAGAATAATAAACCACCAAACAACGATAGGCGCTTAGTCGACATTGTGTTCATCAAGTTCCGGGAGCCCAAGATCTCGTAGCTAGAGTGGTGATGCATTGAATCAACAAGGTTGAAGTTGTTCCACCATTGCCGTTATGTTTCAGTGTGACATTTTGGACCTGTGTGGCGGGCAGATACGGAAATGCTGTCAAACTCTTCCCCCTTTCACGGCCACAGGGCAAGCACACAGGAATGTTCCCCAACATGCCCTGATGATTGTACGAGCCTAGTGGGGTCTCCTCACTCTCGTATTTGGGTAGTATTGTGCCCAGGTCCCAACTTTACGTATCTCCACGCAAATATTCACATTAGTATGGCTTCAGTCAATTCACTCCCACAAATGAGGCGAGAGCTATAACGCAAGGACGTGCTCCTTCCCCCTCTTTCGAGGAAGGTTCGTAATCGACGCAAGACCGTGGTAGACCGTGCAGTCTACAAAGAACGTGATATCGTCAAAATATCTTCGTTGACCGCTCGCCGGGAACCTAAATACTGTATCGGTCGAATAGAGATATAAATTGGTTTCGAAGGAGACATAGCCAAGTGGCCAAGGCTGTTCTTCGGTTCTGTCGACCCCTGAAAACTGTTGATGGACATAACTGGGATTTTTGTGAGGCCGTGCTTTATTCCACATAAACCATAGAACCAAGGGAGCCTAGAGCAAGGACACACGAAATCGAATTGTATAAGGTCTCGCCATTGACATGTGTGCTATATAGAGAGTGCGGGAAGGCATGTTTGCCCAAACCCCAAGCAGTAGCCGACCGCAGTCATGGGACAGCACTTACCGAGCTGCGCGAAGTGAGAAAAGGTATCAGTTAGATCTTGTGCTCTATGGTAGCACGTGGCCATTGGTCGCATTAACCTAGAGCCGAACTGCCTGGTGCTTGCATTTCGCTTGCTGCAAGGTATACATTCTCTCCAATCTATTCATCTTGACATTTTCTTTCTTCCACCCCACACCCACAAACACTGTCCATCATACGCACGCCAAATTATCCTCCAGGAGAAGCTCGGCTTAGAGAGATCCACGGTCTCCAACCATGAAGCCTTTCAACCTCATGGTTCTCTCCTTCATGGGCTTCGGCTTCGGCTTCGGCCGTCCGGCTGGCTCTCCTCAGGATCCTACCATCCCAACGGTGCATGCGAAGATCTGCCAACTCCATAACTTCGCTGGCGATTGTTACGAGGATACTGCGCTCGCGAACGACTGCGCAGCCTTTAGGGCGCCTTGGGTGGACAATGTGCACTCCTTCATCGCCTCCGCGGGCTTCATATGCACCTTATACGTGGACGACAAGTGCATCGATCACAACTATGGATACGCCGAGGATGGTCAAGGCCTTCCGAATGTAGACGACGTCCTTATTTCTGGGATGGATGTGGCGTCTTGGAGCTGCGGCCTTAATGACGGCACCTAAACACCTTCGAGCCTCGACCCCGCCATCTGAAGCTAGTTTTTTGAATTCACATTTGCAAAGGAGTCGAGACAGTGCGAAGAAACCCAAAACACAGAAAAACATGCTGCTATGGAGAGAAGAAGGCAAGGAAGCGTGGCGGTGGTTCTCATGATACCCTACTTTTCAATTTCACTTCGACCTCAAGACATCATAGGCTAGGTAGTTCCTCAAACACTAGCTGACAAGGCAAATCAAATGGCTTTGGTTGAATTCAACCTTTATTATTCATAGTCTATCAATGAACGCTATGAATTTGCTTGTGATGTACCACAGGGACATGATACTTCCTGGAGTGCGTCTGCACTCTCCAGTTACACAAACGAGGTGTATCACACGATCCCACGAGCCTCCAACGCCAACGTGTATGACCTGCACACTTACACACATTGCGAACTCAGAAGGAGCCCCTAAGGGAAGGGCCGAAAAAGAAGCCTTTCTTATAAATACTTACATAGCAGATCTCTTCTAGGCAAACGGAGCGGTAAATGTCACGAGGATATTCCTGTCGGGTGGCGATCGCTTTCACTAAACTTTACCCGCACCATGCTTCGCGGCTGACATTAAATCGCAGTCCAACACGAAACATGCCACATTGATGGGTCTAATTTGGCTTCCTACCAGATGCACCTACATTTTTGAACTCGAAATACTTGTTCAAGCTCCGGTACTCAAGCCGTTCTCTAGTTTATGTTGTCCCGGAGTCTGTGTAGATTTGGACCTGCCTACCTACCTACCTATCCAGATTCATACCTACCTGCGCAAGCGGGACGAGGGAAAAAAACTAAGCCATGGAAGGCCCCTGAAACCTGAGGCATGAGTTGTAGACGCGACTGCCACAAAATTGGCCCCGCCCTGGATGGCGTGCTGCATCCACGGTCTGGGCTTGCCATGGGCTGTGGTTCCTTCCTGCCCGAATGTTAAAGGAGAATCAGAAGCTGAGTTTTATGGCCAGTGTCTGTCGTAGCTGCAGTGAATGGCGGCAGTTCGTTGCTCGTTCCTGTTATGACGGCTTGTACCACAGCTGCGCCATGGAACGTTGTCGGCTGCCTACAATCTCATGCCCTTGATTGGCCCTCTATCATACATGCACCTTCCAGTAGTAGCCGTGAATAGCTCGCACCTCGTTAATGGAGCGCATTCGAGCTCCATGTTCGAAGTGTGTGAGGGCCCCGATCCGCGGCTGCTGCCCAAGCCTTGCCAACGTGGCGCTTGCCGCTGATCTATAGGTAACAGCGAGAGACGCCTTGTGACTGCCACATCGAGAGATGTGATGTCAATGGGTCCAATTCACTGCAGCCACACCTGATCGGGGCAGGTACGCTTTGCTGTTGGGTATGTACTATAAAGCTGGCCCACCCCTAGTTTTTCCTCGATTCTCTTTTCAACCCACTCCACTTCTCTGCTTCCCGATCCTTCCCACTCTCACCCTTGTTTGTTCTTAATTTCCTCCTCTGTTGAGAATCTTCCACTCCAAAAGATCTCGACATGCAATTCACCAAGTTTGTGGGGGTTGCCCTTGCTGTCATCGGCCTAGGTACCTGCAATCCTATCCAGCCAGAGCGTTCGGCGCCCGCCGAGCAAAATGACCTGGTCAACGTGGGAATTTGTGCAAGCGAGAACTACAAGGATTGCTTGTACTACGACATTCGCGTGACAAACTGCCTATATCTGAAGAGTGGCACGCCTGACTTAAAGTCGGTTCATATCCTCAGCAAGGGTGCAGTCTGCGTTGGCTGGGTCGATGCTCTCTGTGGCAGTGGCGACAACATTGTGATCCCGTACCCTGGGAATCCTCGCCTGGATAGTATGGACATCAAGT